TTCCCTCCAGTAGCACTCTCCTGCTTTTGCTAATGTGCCTTAGCTCTGCCATTTTATTTCTGGCTGGATCCCAGTTGCAGAAATGTAGCAATCAGTGGATGGAGTACATTACACAAGTTTAACCCCCCTCCCCCATTCCTATATATAGACAATCTCTGGGGAAACATTCTGCTGCTCTGTTATTGCCATCTTGAAAAGAACTGTCTGTGGTAGATAATTTTGCCTACACAAGAGTAGCGGGTCTGCTGCTCTTCCTTTTCCCAAGTGCCTTTCTTACATATATAAGCATGTCACCTGTTTATAGGATTGAGGAGCCCAGTTCCCTGCTCCTTCTGACAGCTGTACCAGGTGACCACCAGACCTGGGCTGTCGTTACAGAACCGTGAAAGATAAATGCTCTGAGGCGAAGAGCCATGGTTTGTACTTAGAAAAATACATTCTGAATACTTGGAGGTAGATTGTTCAATGTTCTCGCAGCCATGAGAGTCACCACAGGGTTGGTGCTCCCCAACTTTGTACCTCTTAGGACAAACTATTTGGTCATAGCAGAACTGGTATGAAGCAAGGGGATGGTGCAGAGGATTAGTGCCAAGCTGCTCCAGCTGCTTGTTGCTCCTAGCTTTTAAGGTCCAATGATTTCTGCACCAGATCAGGGTTCTGTTACTCTCCAGCACAGCAGCATTGCTGTAGATTCCTCGAGCAAAGAAAAGTGACTGTGTCTGTTCTAATAGTCTGAGTGTGGGGGCGCTACATGAGGTGACTGAGATGTGAATTTGTGCTTCCTGCTGTGTTCAGCTGCACATTTCAAGGTTGTCTGGAATGCATAAATGCTGCAATAAGTGTTTAATTTCTTATTTTCAAACTTGTTTGAAGCCTGCAAAGGCTCACCCATTGCTTGAAATGAGTACTGTTGTACTAAGAGTCCTCATACTGGGTCTTGGGCTCCTAGTGGACAGGGCCGGCTGAAAGCATTGGTGACTGTTGGAATGAGCAGCCCCAGGCACCCTGGTGTCTGCGAGTTGAGTTCATGGAGCAGCATTTTTTTGCTGATTGTTTCCTTATCATTCTGGCAGGTTGAGAAGTGTTTCCCGTTCATGGCTCTCTCACTCGACCTGCCTGAGTTTGCAATAAAAAGCAACAGTGTATTTAGTTGTTGCATCCGTTTTTAAATTTGACTTCTACAAGTTGACTGCATGTGTCATTTCCTGCTTTGAGAGAGCCTGGAAAAAGGCTTATGAATCATTGCTTCAAGCAAGCCACTCCTCGGGCTCCTATTATGGTAGAGGGGTTGTGGGCATAGATGTAACAACTCAAAGCCCACCTTTTCTCTTGTGTGAGCTACACAGTGATGTACTGATGCTGCTTTATGGATCAGCATCTTTATTCAAGACACTATCTGTATATAAAATATACATAATGTATATAATTGGGATGTAAGTTTATGTAAATTGTCAATATTTTCTTTGCAAATAAAGCTTTCTCCTGATCTGACCTAGTTCAGTCACTTCTGAAACACTTTTTTCCCCTCTAAGAGCATCCCATTGAATGTGTTGCTTACTCATTTTATTGTCAGTCTTCCCATGTTTGGAATTTTTTATTGGAGACTCAGTAGCTGGAATGAAGAAATTGCATGCGAACTGCAGTTTTCAGTTAAAAAAGCAAGTTCCCAGCCCTTGTGATAGCAAAGGAACCTGGACATTCTGAATGGAGTGCCCCCTAACAGCTCAAAAACCAGAAGACAAAAAGGTCCCCAAAATTATTTTCTTTTAGATGTAAAGACTGTGGCAGTGTGAGATCGTTGTTGACTGTTTAGGGCCTGCTGGAGCACTGCATTTTACAATGATACAAAGCCCTTACCCAACATAAGCCATTTTCCAAAGGTGATGTCTAATTGCAAAACAGGAGGAGAAAGACATTTCCTACCTGGAGGTTAGAGAGTGCCAGGTTAGACTCTGTGGCTGGGGCTGGAGAAAGGAAGGGTAAAGTGGCACATGGAATATGTGGTGCTTCCATAATGAGTCCTGTGCGAGGTTCATGCCCAAATCACATGACACCTGGTTTTAGTGTTTTCATACATGACAGACTGACTTTGTTTGGCTAAAAAAGAAAAGCAGAGGGGAGGAGACATGAATTTAGTTGTCTGTGCACACATGGGGCAAAGTAATGTAGGGCTCACAAGTCCCCAGAAGTGGGGTATGGTGTTTACAGGGCATAACACAGGAGCTGTTTCTCAAACTGTATGCAGTGTTTTATCTGATAGCATCTCAAGCACTTCCGTTGCTGTCAAATGCTGTCATGTTCAAGTACTCTCCTACTTGGGATCCCACTGTAGGAGTACTACGGATCTTGTCGGAAAGTGGAAGCCCGAGAGCTAGCTATATCTGTATAACTTCATAACTGCCTTGGACTGGCCCTGACTTTGTGCTCACCCTCTAGACTGAAAAGACAGCTTTTTTAGTCTACACTTGATTTCCTCTGCATCTGATTACTGGAACTCACTCTCCTAGAAGCTGAAAGCAAGCTGCGCATACATTAGCAAGGGATGGAGCAGCTCCACCTCCGAACAAGAGAAACTGCTAACAGCGCATCATTCTAGGGATCCACGTGGGCACTTAGCTTCACACATTCTCCAAGTGAATCCACAGGCCTGGTTCATTCAGGACATGAACAAACCAAAACCTGGCTTGTCCATCTGTGACCCACTGAGGCAGCTGTGCTCAGCTGGCACTGGCTGTGTTGTGGCAGCAGTTGGAGGGTCCCGGGTAACTGAGGCAAAGGTAAGCGATTTCCTGGTAACAGCCAGAAGCAATAAGAGGGGGTAGGACTCCCAGGTGTAGCAACTGAGACCTCTGCTGCTAGCACTTTGAGGGAAGTCTCAAGAGCCCAGCACTAGTCAGGAAACACCACCCTACCCCTGGGAGTTTCTGAAGGTTGAATCTACCTGCTCCTGGTACAAGTTATGGTGCAGGAAGGAGCAGGGAGCACAGAGGCCCGGTATTATTGATACCCTGGCATCGTCAGTCAGGCCTGCTGCAGGCTGTGACATTTCCTACAGCGTTACCCTTTCCAGTGCTTTTCCACACACTACAACTGGCTGCTTATAGGTGTATTCTCTGTGGCTGGGTAAAAGCTCCTGGGAGGAGATCCTGGTGAGGCCAGACTGCTTCCCAGCAGGGTGTGCATCTCACTGCAGCACAGCTTTCTCCAGTGTTTGTTTTCAATCTGCAGTTCAATGAGCTCTGTCCTTTACCTGGAGCCTTGATGCTGCGGTGGAAGGTGTGAGAAATGTCACAGATGGAGGTCAAATTGCAAAATCAGGCAAGGCACTGAGATTGGCCAGCAGAGGGCACTGCTGCCTGGGAAGCTGGGGTCTTTCTCACTCCAGGACAAGAAAAAAGTGTGCACCCAGCACATTCCCTGCAGCACAGGTTGTTGCCCAGGATGTGACCTTTTAGGGCGAGGGTGGGCAA